GAGGGGTAACAGTATTGTCGAGCCAGTGTGTGGAGGGTGGCAGGAGAGGCTACCCAGCGACGCCATGTTCATTTATCAAGTACAGGAACTCTCCTCCACTGACGCAAAACATTTTTATGTGGATAAAATTGTAATCGATCCCCATTTTAACATTACTACATTAAGAAAGAGCTTGTAATCTAAGCTTCGAACATCAGTTGTGAAGATTTATTGTATATCTAATTATTTTCCACACTGATGCCCCCCTCTTATATTAAAACAATCTTCTCACCCACATAATAACACTCGTCTTGCCCACATAATAGCAATCATCTCACCTACAACATAACAATTCTCTAACCCTCATAATGGGTGAAATTCCACAGTCACTTAAAACGACGGATATAGCCCCACTTCATAAAGGTGGCAGCAAAACATTAGCTAAAAACTATAGACCAATAGCTCTGACGTCCCACATCATAAAAATCTTTGAAAGAGTGCTAAGAAGCTGGATTGCAAATCACCTGGATTCCCAAAATCTGCACAATCCAGGGCAACATGGGTTCAAGGCAGGTCGCTCCTGCCTCTCACAACTACTGGATCACTATGATATGGCCTTGGATGCACTGGAAGAAAATCAGAATGCAGATGTAATATACACAGACTTTCCAAAAGCATTTGACAAATGCGATCATGGCGTAATAGCCCATAAAATACGTGCTAAAGGAATAACTGGGAAAGTGGGGAGATGGATCTTCAACTTCCTAACAAATCGAACACAAAGAGTAGTGGTCAACAGAGTTAAATCGGAGGCTGCCATAGTGAAGAGCTCTGTTCCACAAGGCACAGTACTCGCCCCCATCTTATTCCTCATCCTCATATCAGACATAGACAGAGATATACATCACAGCACCGTATCATCCTTTGCGGATGATACTAGGATCTGCATGAGGCTGTCATCTGCTGAGGACGCGGTTAACCTCCAAGAAATATAAGCAAAGTTTTCCAGTGGGCAACGGTAAACAATATGATGTTCAATGAGGACAAATTCCAACTACTCCGTTATGGAAAACTGGAGGAGATAATAACTAGAACAGAGTATATTACTGACTCCGGCCATACAATAGAGCGGAAAAATAATGTAAGGGACCTGGGAGTAGTAATGTCTGAGGATCTCACTTTCAAGGATCACAACAGTGCCACGATCGCACGTGCAAAGAAAATGATAGGATGGATAATGAGAACGTTCAAAACGAGAGATGCCAAGCCAATGATGATCTTTTTCAAATCACTTGTTCTCTCTAGGCTGGAATACTGCTGTACATAACATCTCCATTCAATGCAGGTGAAATCGCAGATCTAGAGAGTGTACAGAGATCCTTTACTGCACGCACAAGTTCTGTCAAGCACCTTAACTACTGGGAACGCTTGGAAGCACTTGACTTGTACTCGTTGGAACGCAGGAGGGAGAGATATATCATAATCTACACTTGGAAAATCCTGGAAGGAATGGTCCCAAATCTGCACACAGAAATCACTCCCTACGAAAGTAAAAGACTGGGCAGGCGATGCAAAATGCCCCAGATAAAAAGTAGGGGCGCCATTGGTACACTAAGGGAAAACACCATAAGTGTCCGGGGCCCAAGACTGTTCAATAGCCTCCCATCAAGCATTAGGGAAATTGCCAATAAACCCCTGGCTGCCTTCAAGAGAGAGCTGGACAGATACCTAAAGTCAGTGCCGGATCAGCCGGGCTGTGGCTCGTACGTTGGACTGCGTGCGGCCAGCAGTAACAGCCTAGTTGATCAGGCCCTGATCCATCGGGACGCCTGGTCATGGACCGGGCCGCGGGGGCGTTGATCCCCGGAATAACCTCCAGGTAACCTCCAAGTAACCTCCAGGTATGGCAGTCCTTTCACTCGTATAAAATCTCTCTCAATCAAGTAATAACACTTCACTCACAAATATTCCAGCTTCTCAGACTCTCTTCCTTTGTCTGGTGTGTTTCCCCAACTTCAAAATGTCTTCTTGCACATTCTGATATCCTTCACATGTTGCACATGCTGGACCACATAATTTATTCGCCATTTCTCTTCAGCCTCGGCTATTCCACACCCCCCACCAAGGTTTTCATGTATAACCTGAAACTCTCCGTGTGATCGGGTTCAGATTTTTCATCGCCGGTGCACTCTAACCAGAGCAAGGTTCATACAAGTTTTGTCACGTGCTGGTGCCCTCTGAGCAGGTTCATGTAGACCATTCTCTCTGATGCACCTTAAACTTAAACACTGGTGTGGTGTGTCTTGCCTAAAAGAAGGTTTAGACTATTTGGATTCTGCAAATGCCAATTTTCCTATTTTATATTAAAATAGTGTACTATTGTCTCCATAAAATAATTATACCTCTTCTGAAAGGTTTCAATTTTTATAGGCCGTTGAACCTAATGAACAAGTTGACACCCGGTAACTACTGGCACACACAGGTGACCTCTGTCAGTTTTATATGGACATTTCCAAATTTTTGTTTCCTGCAATAGTTTGATGATGCCTCTTCTGATAGGCTTCAGACTTTCAACAGTGGCGTGTGCTTCCTAGAATACTCAAAGATATTATTGTATTTTTCCTTGAAATAACTTGAGTTTGCCTTTTACGAACGCCTTAAATATCAGCTGATCCATTTTATTAAAAGGAAAATCCCTTTTGTATCCAAAAGGGATTATCCTCAAGGAAATAAACTGTTAGAAGTTTAAGGAAATGAGTCTAACAAACTTGGCGGAAAGGACAAGATGGGGACATGATTACTGTATATAAAATCTTAAGAACTGATAGAGCAAATGGGGACAAATTGTTTGAATTAAGAGGACCAGGATCAAAGGGACACAGGTGGAAGCTGAAGATACAGACGAGTCATGAGGATGAAAGTATTTCTTTAGTGTCAGGATGGTTAAGAAGTGTCAGTGGTGGAGGCAAACACAATATACAACTTCAAAAGCAAATACGTGACATGCCCAAAGAGGCCATAATATATCTCTCTCTCTCTCACACACACACACCTCTTTGTTCTTTGTAAGCGGTTCATTCAAATTATTACCAAAATCTTTACCTGTCTTCATGTGTTACACTCAGAGTTATCCAACCTTGGTTCATTGTAAAATCCTGGCTCTTACAGTGTCCTTATGGTATTTTGTACCACTTGATATGGTATACCACGTACCCCCCAACTCAGAATGGGACCTAAACCAGTCCACCAAGACCCAGAAACCTATTGACTGCTAGGTAAACAGGAACAACAGATATTATTATATTAACAGCTGACAGACTCTACAACAAGATTCATCAAGACTGAGGGACTGAAAACCTTAAGCTACCACCTCACATCTCCCACCGTCTCCAATAATTGTTCTCTTCACTGGATTGATAAAGCCGCTGTTAGGCAAAACGTTAACACAGTAAAGATACCCAAGTGTTGCACATGTGTCTTGTTCATCTACCTGGAACAACACGTGTAAAGAGAGGTGGTCATGCGTGACACGGGAAACACATGTATCCAAGGATCACACGTCACAGAGAATACAGTTATGCTCAAGGAAGGGCCAGGTCCTGAGTACAACCTGAAGAGCTCCTGACCAAACACCTTCAAAGAATCCTTTGTCTGCAGAGAGTCCTTCTGCTCTCTCCCAGGATACTCGACACCCATAACAAGCTAGCACTCTCTCACGACTCAAGAAAATCTCTTTCAGAACACCTTACAAGATATGAGCTCTCAGTTCTCTCTCTAAAAAAAAAATTTCTTTCATAGCAACATCTCACAAGCTGTGAACTCAAGGAAGGTCATAAAAATATGAGTAACATTTTACGATATGTGAGTTCCTGGGAATCATAAGTGCCACCTTACAAGATGTGAGTTCACATAGCTCTTAAAAACTTTCAGAGAATTGTCTCACAAAAACTGAGTTTCCTGGAAGTATTTCCCATCATATGGAAAGTCTTAATGGACCCATTCTGTGAGAATAATACATACGTCTACACTCGCCACACTTCTGTACCTCCACAAATCTTAGTGTTGCTGCGGCTAGGTACTAAGACACGTAATGCATAGCAAGACTTTACACGACGTTTGGCTCACGACCGAGTTTTACCAAGTCTGTAGAAAACCTGTGCGAAACATCGCCTAAGTCTTGCTCTACATAACATGAGATTACAGCCACTTGTCAGCTTATTCCCCGTAATGATGAAGGAAAAAAAGTGTTCATCAAGCTTTTATTTTGACATCTTGTCTAAAGTTTTACTTCCAGCTTGTTGTCTCAGCCACCAGCGCTGCAGGAGGTGTGTTGCAGAGAGTGACACACGGTACCTAATGTCATTATCCATTGGGAAGACACTAAGCATCGGTATATGTTGTCCTGGCAATGCTGGGAGAAGCTAATTACTTATCGTTGGTTCCTATCGCCCTTCTGATAGCTCCTATCGTGTGCTCTCACTAGAGAGTGAACACACGAATTCTCCCCGGCGGGGCACAGAGTGCGCCTGCTTAAAGTGCTGTCTACTTGAGCAGAAATAAATTAGGATGTAGCTGAACAAACTAACAGACAAGCGCAGTAACGCTACAACTAAACAAACAACGGAGTTTTACAGTCACTTACCGACCCTTACAGTTACTGACTGAATTTTATACTTACTGAACCTTACAGTTACTGACCTTTACAGTTACTCACTTTTACAGTTACTTGTGAACCGTACTGTCATTTAGGGCACGAGTTAAGACACGGTAAGCGGAAGGCAAGTGGAAGGCAGGTGGATATTGTGAGTGGAAGACAAATTGAAGGTAAGTGGAAATCAAATGGAATGAAAGTGGAATGTAAGTAAAAAGTCAAGTGGAAGGCAAGTGACTGAAAGTAAAAGGCCAGTGGAAGGCAAATGCAGGGAAAGTGGAAGGTAAGTGAAATGAAAGTGGAAGGCAAGTGGTCAGGCAGACGGTGAACGGCAGAGCAAGCAACAGAAGCAGACACATGGCAGACTCACCTGCCACTGTAGATGTCCTGATTCATGGGAGAGTTCTCATCGTCAGAGAACTCTGCGTCACTCGTCTCCCCCAGAGGCATCTGCAGGTGCACTGGCGGAGGCATCCTGTGGAAGAAACATCGCTCGTTATTACTGAAGAAGCAACAGGTCAGAAACATCAGTTGTTACCACTGACTTAGTACAACTAAAGAGGCAGCAGGTCAGTGGATTACGAGAGGCAGTGAGAGAGGATCTGCAACATATTATTGGGGACAGGAGAGCTGTCAGAACCGGTGCTTTATAAAGTCAGTGACTCGATGTGGTTCTAGACAGAGGAGAAATATTGGCACACTGAAAGCTTAATTAACGCCTGTATCTTTCTTTCAAGGGATGTTAGTAGCCTGGGAAACTGTAAATGTACGAGGTAGCAGGCAACACTAACAGACCTACATTTCGCTGTCACTAGCATTCATATACTGCAAAGCAACCGAAAACACCGATTTGACATAGAGTTGGTGCGCAAGTTTCTCATTCACCAGACACAGTCCAGACTGGCCCTGTGCAGCAGCTGTGCAGCTGAGCACAGATACAATTGGTAGAGTAAGATTTCTAAAAACAACATAGTCTAGATTCTCCTACACCACTTACTAACATTCGCTTTTGGAACTGTTTTAGAAGCGGCACGAATCGACAAGAAGCCTTTACTTAACACCTCCAGCTATTGCAACACAGTGACGCATCAGACCGTTCAACTTAGTTGAATGGCTATACCCTGGCCGGTGGTCACAGAAAAACGATACAAAATACGGTTGACTGTGACACAGCAGTATGCCCACCCCATTATTGGATCTTCTGCTTACACTAGTCGCGTCTTTGTTAGTGGGAAGAAAGAAGCGAAACCTCTGAAATTGTTAATGAAATTACCTCCGTTCAGTGACAATCATCCCATCCTCGATCTCACTGAACGAGAGGAGGGGGTTCGAATCCCCCCACATGTTCTGTGATTTGTTTGTACTCGTGTTATTATGATTTCATGAGTCATGTGGCCACTACTAGGTAGTGATACTCTTTTTTTTATGGAGGTGTAAACCATAGCTGGGGTAGACCAGCGGACTGGGAACCAACTACGTGCTAGGAAATGCTTGTTATGTTTCCTAACGAATGAATCATCACCATAATTTATGCTACAATAGACTGGTCGTTAATCTATTAAATAAGATTATATAGTTAGCTTGTTTAAATCCCCGATCATTCATACGGGATATATACATCGTGATGTGTATGTCTCCGTGTAACACCGTTAGAGACACTTTCAGTGTCTATAGGACACTGTGAGACTGTTGTATTCTAAGATTAGCCTCAGACACGTACAATATAATTATGAGAGCATGCAAGGGATACACTGTTCTGAAGTTGGTGAGAGCAAGAGCTACGGTAGCAGCTCTAAGATTACATATTTCTATAGAGGTGAGAAACAAGTGAGCAGTGAATTATATTCTGCACTGTAAGATACTACCAGACATTGTGGGTACACTTCTTAACACAAAAACCAGAAATTATTGTAGTTGTAAGGGACTTAAATGTACATGTTGTACAAAGTACACGTAAAGCTGTAACAGAAACTCGTTTCGGGGTTTTTGACCAAATAAATATATAAAAATTTCATTTAATTTTATGGACTATTTTTTTTTTTTGCCGTTTAAAACTAAGACATTTGAATCATAATAGCAACTGTACCTCAAAATAAAGCATTAAAAAATATTGACAATATAACTGTACCAATAAAGCGTGATAATAAAAGCAATAAAATAGAAGCGGCTGGTGGTAAGGCGAGCGATGAGACAAGATGTTGTGACAACGATCGCTGAGAGAGTTGATCGCCAGTTACCTGTACGAACTTACTGTCCCCGCCCTGGCTCACACCGTGCCTGCCACCAGTGACCACAAACACGCCTTCAGTATTGCTAACATCTAATTCAGGCTACCTACAGACACCACTGCCAGTGGCTAGACAGACACCACTGCCGTCGGTTAGACACAGACACCACTGCCGGTGCTAGACAGAGACACCACTGCCGGTGGCTAGACACACACACCACTGCCAGTGACTAGACACAGACACCACTGCCGGTGCTAGACAGAGACACCACTGCCGGTAGCTTGACACAGACACCACTGCCGGTGGCTAGACACACACACCACTGCCGGTGACTAGACACAGACACCACTGCCGGTGCTAGACAGAGACACCACTGCCGGTGCTAGACAGAGACACCACTGCCGGTGGCTAGGCACAGACACCACTGCCGGTGGTTAGGCACAGACACCACTGTCGGTGGCGGTGGCTAGCCACCACTGCCGGTGGCTAGACACAGGCACCACTGTCGGTGGCTAGACCCAGACACTACTGCCAATGGCTAGACACAGACACCACTGCCGGTGGTTAGACACAGACACCACTGCCGGTGGCGGTGGCTAGCCACCACTGCCGGTGGCTAGACACAGGCACCACTGCCGGTGGCTAGACACAGACACCACTACCGGTGACTAGACACACACCACTGCCGGTGCTAGACACAGACACCACTGTCGGTGGCGGTGGCTAGCCACCACTGCCGGTGGCTAGACACAGGCACCACTGTCGGTGGCTAGACCCAGACACTACTGCCAATGGCTAGACACAGACACCACTGCCGGTGGTTAGACACAGACACCACTGCCGGTGGCGGTGGCTAGCCACCACTGCCGGTGGCTAGACACAGGCACCACTGCCGGTGGCTAGACACAGACACCACTACCGGTGACTAGACACACACCACTGCCGGTGCTAGACACAGACACCACTGCCGGTGGCTAGACACAGACACCCTGTCAGTGTCTAGACATAGACACCACTGCCGGTGCTAGACACAGACACCACTGCCAGTGGCTAGACATAGACACCACTGCCGGGGCCTAGACACAGACACCACTGCCGGTGGCTAGACAGACACCGCTGCAGGTGCTAGACACAGACACCACTGTCGGTGGCTAGACACAGACACCATTGCCTGTGGCTAGACACAGACACCACTGCCGGTGGCTAGACACAGGCACCACTGCCGGTGGCTAGACACAGACACCACTGCCGGTGACTAGACACACACCACTGCCGGTGCTAGACACAGACACCACTGCCAGTGGCTAGACATAGACACCACTGCCGGTGCTAGACAGACACCACTGCCGGTGCTAGACACAGACACCACTGCCGGTGGCTAGACAGACACCGCTGCTAGACACAGACACCACTCGGTGGCTAGACACAGACACCACTGCCGGTGCTAGACACAGACACCACTGTCGGTGGCTAGACACAGACACCACTGTCGGTGGCTAGATACAGACACCACTTCCGGTGCTAGACACAGACACCACTGCCAGTGGTTAGACACAGACACCACTGCCGGTGGCGGTGGCTAGATACAGACACCACTGCCGGTGGCGGTGGCTAGATACAGACACCACTGCCGGTGGCAGTGGCTAGCCACCACCGCCGGTGGCTAGACAAAGGCACCACTGCCAGTGGCCTAGATACAGACACCACTGCCAGTGGCTAGACAGACACCACTGCCGGTGCTAGACACAGACACCGCTCCCGGTGGCTAGACACAGACACCACTGCCGGTGCTAGACAGACACCACTGCCGGTGCTAGACACAGACACCACTGCCGGTGGCTAGACAGACACCGCTGCTAGACACAGACACCACTCGGTGGCTAGACACAGACACCATTGCCGGTGCTAGACACAGACACCACTGTCGGTGGCTAGACACAGACACCACTGTCGGTGGCTAGATACAGACACCACTGCCGGTGTTAGACACAGACACTACTGCCGGTGCTAGACACAGACACCACTGCCAGTGGCTAGACATAGACACCACTGCCGGTGGCTAGACATAGACACCACTGCCGGCGGTTAGACACAGACATCACTGCCAGTGGCTAGACATAGACACCACTGCCGGTGCTAGACAGACACCACTGCCGGTGCTAGACACAGACACCACTGCCGGTGGCTAGACAGACACCGCTGCTAGACACAGACACCACTCCCGGTGGCTAGACACAGAACACCGTGCCTGTGGCTAGACACAGACACCACTGCCGGTGGCTAGAACAGACACCCACTGCCGGTGGCTAGACACGCACCACTGTCGGTGGCTAGACACAGACACCACTGCCTGTGGCTAACACAGACACCACTGCCAGTGGTTAGACACAGACACCACTGCCGGTGGCGGTGGCTAGATACAGACACCACTGCCGGTGGCTAGATACAGACACCACTGCCAGTGGCTAGATACAGACACCACTGTCAGTGGCTAGACAGACACCACTGCCGGTGGCTAGACACAGACACCACTGCCGGTGCTAGACACAGACACCACTGTCGGTGGCTAGACACAGACACCACTGCCTGTGGCTAGACACAGACACCACTGCCGGTACTAGACACAGACACCACTGTCGGTGGCTAGATACAGACACCACTGCCGGTGGCTAGACACAGACACCACTGCCGGTGGCTAGACACAGGCACCACTGCCGGTGGCTAGACACAGACACCGCTGCCGTTGACTAGACACACGCCACTGCCGGTTGCTAGACACAGACACCCTGTAAGTGGCTAGACATAGACACCACTGCCGGCGGCTAGACACAGACACCACTGCCTGTGGCTAGACACAGACACCACTGCCGGTACTAGACACAGACACCACTGTCGGTGGCTAGATACAGACACCACTGCCGGTGCTAGACACAGGCACCACTGCCAGTGGTTAGACACAGACACCACTGCCGGTGGCGGTGGCTAGATACAGACACCACTGCCGGTGGCGGTGGCTAGATACAGACACCACTGCCGGTGGCGGTGGCTTACAGACACCACTGCCGGTGCGGTGGCTAGATACAGCACCACTGCCGGTGGCGGTGGGTAGCCACCACCGCCGGTGGCTAGACAAAGGCACCACTGCCAGTGGCTAGATACAGACACCACTGCCAGTGGCTAGACAGACACCACTGCCGGTGCTAGACACAGACACCGCTCCCGGTGGCTAGACACAGACACCACTGCC